CTATGCAATCTCTTGTGCCAGTAGAGATGAAACTTTGTCCACTAGTTGGCAATGTGGACAGCTGTTGACTAGTCAGACACTGCCTGAATTTACTAGCACAGTATGGTGGTAAACACAAAAGGGGAGGGTCCATAAAGCAGTTCTTCTGACAAAAAGTAGAGCCAATTGTACTTCATTAGTACAGAAATGTGTCATAAGTGATGAAACCAATTCTAATGTCAATGGTAAGTTGCATAAGACTACACTGAATGTCAGTAAAAAAACGTCTGCTACACCCATCAAAATGAAGAATCCACCACTAGCCACTAGCTGCAAGCTATTAATAAAACTGTTCATTGATGTATTGAACACTTTATTTATGGCAAATGACAACAGGTCAGGTAGTTGTTTTTTAAAATAAGTAGTAGAAATAAAAAGCAGTGCAACCCCTAACTGGCACATTTCACTTAGTTAAAAAGTTTTCCCATTCTACTATACCAAAGCGTCAAAAGAGAACAGAGTGTAACTTCAACTGCAAAGAAAACAGGAAGGGTTTTGGAGCAGGGCTGAGGTTGAATCCTGTCTGACTGCAGCAGAGAGAGAGAAGCTTGCTGCTTCACTCTGTGGACAGACAGAGCTAAAAGAACACACTCTACCCCTCTCTCTCATGAGGGGTTTTAGTTTTTGGGCTCGCGCTCTCTCTATCTCTTTCTCTCTGTCTGTCTCTCTCTCTTCAAAGGCTGACAGCTGACTCCTGCCCTCACACATCAGAGGCCGTGGTCGGGGCAGCGAGTGTGAGGCTGAAGCTCCGACTGGAACAGCTCGCCCTTTCATTCCTCAGACTGAGTAGTGTCCTCCAGAGCGCCCCTACCTCCACCACTTTCCCACAGTGCCCCCAGACAGCCTCCAAAGCACACACTAAATCCCTCAGCAGCCACACCCAGCTTCAGGGCAAACCTTACCCAACAGCCTGCCAGCAGCTACAACAAATTTTGGAACTGTGAGGAAGAGCACAGTTCCAAAACAAAAAAAAATCACCTCACTAGGGCTGCGACTAACAATTAGCTACATAATCGATGAGCCCATCAAGTAGTGTTCACTATTAAATCAACTACTGCATTTACATGCCTTTGGTAGACCGTCTTATTCAAAGTGATTTACAGTTTAATCATGTTACTGAGGTAGATGAATGCAGGGTTAGTTTTGGAAGAGAAATGTTTCTCATTCTTGTTTGATATAGGATTTTAGCTTCTCCATAGTTTGGGGTCTCCTTTGTCGTATTTATTTTCTTATAATGTGCCAAATATTTTAAATAGGTGACCAGTCTGGACTGCAAGCAGGCCAGTTTAGCACCCAGACCCTTTTACTACGGAGCCATGCTGCTGTAATACATGCATAATGTGGATTGGTGTTGTCTTGCTGAAATGAGATTGTCTTACCTGAAAACGATGTCCTGTGCATGGCAGCATATGTTGCTACAAAAACTGAATATATCTTTCAGCATTAATGGTGCCATCACAGATGTGTAAGTCACCCATTCCATGTGCACTAATGCACCCCTATACCATCATAGATGCTGGCTTTTCAACTATGTGCTAATAACAAGCCAGATGGTCTTTAGCCCGAAGGACCATGCAGCGTCCATGATTTCCAAAAAGAATTAGAAATTTTGATTCGTCAGACCGCAGGACACTTTCCACTTCGCCTCAGTCCATTTAAATGAACTCAGGCCCAGAGAAGGCGGCGGTGTTTCTGCATCCTGTTTATATATGCTTTCTTCTTTGAATTGTACAGTTTTAACTTGCATTTGTGGATTCAGCAATGAACTGTGTTCACAGACAGTGGTTTTTGTTATAGTTTATTAAGCCCATGCAGTGATATACACCACAGAATCAAGTCTACTGGTTTCTGTCTCTATCCCTTGCACACACAGATTTATCCTCATTCTCTGAATCTTCTACGACATTATGTACTGTAAGTGATGAAATCTCAAAGTTCTTTGCTATTTTATGTTAAGAAATGTTATTCTTGAATTGTTGCACTAATATCCTGCACAGTTTTCACCTTATCATCTTTATTTCTGTAAGACTCAGCCTCTTTGTGATGCTCTTTTTATGGCCAATCATGTTACTGACCTGTTGCCAATTAAACACCAGGTGGTTTTTTATATTATAAATCTTAGATATTATCATTATCATCATTACTGTGAGCTTTTGTTTTTAAGTAAACTTTTTTTTTTTACTTTTTTTTACAGATGACAAACTTTTTGACCCATCACTGCGCCCTATACTGCTATTATTCCAGCATTGCTAATAATATTCCAATAATAGTCATAATCCAGGTGGTTCCAAAAGCAGCATGGCCTCGAGGAATCAGGCAGAGGACTGTGCTTTAAAATACAGCCCCAGTATAACAGCCCACTGTATTGTTACACAGCTTTCTTCTAGCCTGCAGCAAATCAACAGTGGCAAAAGGTAGCAGCCTGGAAGGCATGTGTGCATCCACACGCTGATGATAATCTCAAAGGCTGCAAATCAGAGGGCTTAGACCCTCAAAAGCCTCAAAGGAGCTCCAAAAACCCACACGGGTAAAAACAGGCCGAGGAAGATAAAGAGATGGGAAGTTAGATGAAACGGAATTCGAATATTACCGATCAATCTAATGTGACGTTATGCACATACAGACCTAGCAGAACAAGAGTGAGTCTGAAAATAAAAGGAGAAACGGAGAGAGAGGAAACAGAGTCTCAGGTTGTCGTTTCCATGTCGTGATGCCAAATTTTTTGAAGGGAAAAAAAGGGCCCATTTTCGACTTCAAAGGCTCATGCAAAAACATTTTATCCGTGATACCTCAAACTTTAGCTCCAAAAACAATAGGGCCAATGTTTCTTTAACAAACGAAAGCCATGAATTTGTTATCCATGCAAAAACAAAACTCGACCGAAAAAATAAGGAAGTTTACATTAAATGTAAATTGATGCATGCTATTATAAACAGCCATGTTCCGTTCCTCTGAGAGCTCGAAGGCGGATAACAGAAATAGACAAATAAGTTCATTTAAAAGATGTTTTCTGGAGTCTACGCTAAGCTAACCTCAATCCAGCTCTTGGGATCTGCATAAATTGAGGGCTTTCAGGGTAGCAGCAGTATTCTTGGTATTATGCATATTAGTTTAAGGCTGTCACAATGAATCAGCAAGGGTGTCCATCCCCCGTCTGCTCTGCACTGCTAATTATTGGATCAGAGATAGACTGCTTTTCTCGCCAGCGGCCCCCGAGCCCGTGCAGCCTGCAGAAGAAGAAAAGAGGAGGAGAAAAGCGCTCCAATTTGGGTTCAGAGAGAGCCACGGGGTCGCGAATCGATCGACCATAAAACCTTTGTCTGGTTGCTTTCGTCTCGTCCGCCGAGCAGATTTGTCACATCTGCGTGGCTTTTCGCTGCAGAAAGAGGAAGCGGAATAACAGGATGCAGTGACTCTTTAACCGGGGGAAAAAAGAAGGAAATTAGGAAGACAGAAGCCCTCTCGCTTCATACTGGCAGCTGCTGGGTTTGCTTCTATGGACTATTACTTAATGAAGAGGAGCTCTTCCTTGTTTATAGTGTTCTGTCTTTTATGGAGGATTTTCTTTGAAGCCACATGGTGGCTAGTTTCACCGCTATGGTGCGAAAAGCCAAGCGCAAGCAGAAACTGCTGGCAAGGCCACTGTTCATTCATGGTGTCGGTCCGATTACACATGGGGGCCATATGGGTGAATGGTAGGAGAGGGCTTACATCTGGCCTTGCTCTTTTAAAACCAGCCCAATCACAACATACTCTCTTAACACAGCTTGGCTATGTGGCCAGGCCTCAGCAATGTGTGCTGTAGATCTGTGCCAAAGATTACACAGAAAACAAAAAAAAAACCTGAAAAAGAAGTCTATAATACCTTGTGACTACTCATATGAGTGAAATGTAGAATGTTCTTGTGACCACATATGCACTGATTTCATACATGTTACTTCCAAGCTCACCTTGTATATATCCATAGCATCAGGTAGAATTTCACAAAGCAGGGACATCTTGGTTTAGCAAGACTAAACGAGGACTTTCCTATATTAAAACTCCTCACTTCACTTCCTTTTGGACAATCATAAGTTCAGGCTAACCCTTAAATATAGACTGGTATTACTTCTGTTTTGCTAAACCACTCAAATGTCTATTTTTTTTTTAGTTTGTTTAGTCAAGAATTGTATTGCACTGCATGAAAATTACATGTATTTCATGTCTTTATCTTTTGTTTTTGTTCTATTAGTATAGCCAACACTAGGACCTTGAGGTTTTGAAAAGCGCAATAAATTAAAATGTATTGTTTCTTACCAAGAAATGGCAAAAATTTAACATTATAAGTAATGGATGCTTTTCCTTCTTTTCATTAACTCCAATTGTATTAAAAACATCTCTTTTTCTACTTAAACCTAAATGTGGTCCAGATTGAAAGCTTAGAATCTATATTTTTGTCAGAATTTTCAGAATTTCTCATATTCTTTCAATATGCTATGAGTGAGAAATAGTTCTTTTCGAAATACACCATGCTTTTGTTATCGCTGGTGACAACTGCAACTTACCTTATCAGGCCAACTAAGAAGTCCTGCTTTGTGAAATAACTCTCCAGGTATCAGATGAGCATAACAGTACAAGAGTACATAACAGACCATGCAGTACAACGACAGTGCAATGCTACATCCTCCTCCAACAGCGAGGCAAAATAGAGAGAGATGACACAACTGACCAATGGCTGGACAATGAATTATAAGAGATAAATAAATCTAAATGAAAAATACTGGAGATAAAAATACACAGGCATGACAAAAGAAGTGGCAGAACATGAGTGACGCATATACAAACACAGCGCTCTGGTGAGCTCAGGATGAACCTTTAGGATTAGTCTGTATTTAAGCATCATATTGTCTTGAAAGCACAGGAATACATTGGAATACAGCAAAAGAGTCACTTAGACTGGACAGGGATAGGCAGGGCCTTACCATTGCTCAGATGTACGCCGTTTTCATTCTCTGGCCTGTACCTGCAGAAAATGGCAGCTTTTAACAATGGGGATGGGTCTCCTAACATACTAAACTTAACTTTAAATGCCAAAACGTGGTGTTACACAAGATCAACACATTGATGTTCTAGTCACCGAGTGACGACTGATACACTTCTACATTACACAAGTCTAAAACAATATTGTACAGGCCTTTCTATCAGACTAACAGTAAGAAAGAAGTTGTTTTATACATAAACACAGCACGGTAAACAGTGCAAATACATCATATTGAATCTTAGAAGGCCTGTCATATCTCTCTGAAGAAGCCAAAGTGACAGGGCACAGAAAGAGAGAGTGGGAAAAAAAAGCCTGAGGGAGCTGAATTTTATCACAGAATGGACAGACTAATCCCAAAGACTGTGAATCTCATGGAATAAGCGATGGAGGGATGGATGGAGTGACTGCTCTGAAAGTCTATGTGCTGCCGCAGTACAAGTACACTACAGTATCCAAAAGCCCACACTGGTGGTTCTTTTTGGGAGCTGTAATTGTCTGCATATACAACAAACAGGCCAGGCAGGCTACTTAAAATGCTGAGTGTTTTAAAAGTGGAGTGCTCCCTGAAAATCCACTCAAGTCATAAACACTTGTTTATATCGCAGTTGTGTGCGGAACATGCAGCAGTGGCGTGGGGACTGGAAAATTACCAGCATGGTCAGAAACCAGAACAAGATTTAAAGGCAGCTGTGCAGTACATCCGGTTTAAAAAAAGAAAAAGAAAAGGAGCCAAATGCAAAGGAGTGGAAGAGAAAGAAAGAAAAAAGAAAGGAGGAAGGCTCAAGGACGTTTCTTACCTGAGGCAGACTCCTGGAGCTTCTCCCTCTTCCTCTTCTTCTTCTTTCCCTAGAAAATATCCGGGAGAACTTTTAAAGTGTGGCTCCAGCACTCACGGCCACTAGACCACTCTAAACCATCTGCCTTTTGCCATATTCGCTCATCCCCTGCTGGACACCGCCGGCCAAAGCCCTGCCAATCACCATTTTGGCCAATCACAACACTGAAGGTACTCTTCTTCCTATTCTACCTTATCCAATCTAATTTTTCAAATTATGAAAGCCTATGTGGAACCAGGATTGACTAGAGTAAGGGGTTTTTGTCTATAACTAGGAGTCACAGATGGACAGCAAAAATATGAGGGATCCCTAAGGACCTGTCTGAGAATGTTTCAAATGATGGTTCTTTACAGAATAATTTTTGCATGTTTAAAGAACTTCTACATAATGTAAAGGTTCTACACCAAGTCAAGTTTTTCATAGAACCATTCATCTAAGCCAACAAGCCTTTTTTAAAGAGTGCAGCACAGTCAACTCATATTAGTGAATCTAAACTCCAACCTAAATTCATTAGGTTGAACGCCAGTTGCCCTGTAAGGCTTGCCCAGCTTCAGAACAGTTGCTATGAAAGAATACATTTGTGGGCAGAGCATGAATAGGTCAACTGCCCTTCCTGCACTGCTGGTAGTTGCACCACCGATAAAAAAAAAAACAAAAAAAAAAACATTAATTCAATTCAAACACTCATTACTAATCTTAACCACTCAAGATTAGGGACTAATGATCAATCAAAAAGTTACACATAGGAAGGAAATATCTGGCCTACTCTAATTTACATGAACACCGGCTCTCGAACCAGAAGTCTGGATTGGTTGAGGATTTGTAGCTTACTCCTAAATCCCCTAGCAGGGTGACTATAGGTATAGATAGCTCTGTGCCGTCATTTTGCAGTCCAATATGAGGCGCGCTTTGGTTGCCTGCTGTAAAAGTCTGATAATCCACTTATTCAGCAGCTAATCTGTGTATTCTAGCCGCGGCTGACAGAGCCATGAAGCCCAGAGCAGTGAAGAGAGTGTGTGTGTGTGTATGTGTGTGTGTGTGACAGAGCAGGGATGTGCTCACAGCGCTTAACACTGTTAAATACAGCTGTATGCCCACTGCTAATGGAACCAGCCGAGTGGAAAGTTCATCCTTCTTTGAAGTGTTTCTGAGCCCCTTTTGCCCCCATTGGCTTCCCAGCCAGTGACTGGTTTCAGCGTTCACTTCCATCATCATATTCCCTGAATCTGAACGTTACAGGAATAGAATCTCACACAGTGAGGTTTGTCCTATTTAAGTAAAGGGTATAGCTGTAGCTCAGTTTAGCATTTTGCACGTTTCCCTCTGACGAGCACTGGCCTGCTTCTCTTCAGTGTAACTTTTGGGAAGCTGTTTATACTGTTTACATACGAGTCTTAAAAAAGGCACCAAAATAGCCGCTTGAGTGAAATACAGTGACCGTACTGGTTGTGTTTTTGTGGTTTGGCCTCTGTGGAGCCCTCAGTGCTGCGAGGGGCCGCAGCGAGAGAGCCATGCCGGCCGTGTCCGAGGGGAGCCAGACAAACAGCGCAAAACGCCTCAGTGGTGGAGTGACTGTGAGTGCTGGAGCCACACTCTTGACACAAGCTGGCAGACTCACATTCAAAAGAGACACGCATACAGACATACACACTGTCCGTCAAACATTTAGGGACACTTCGCTATAATTTGCGTAATGTATAATATTCACTGTTACCTTTTAAATCAACTAAGACAAATGCCTGAACAGCTTTAGCTAACATGAAATAGCATTGTGCTAACCATTTGATGAACATGCTGTGTTACAAAGTATATTCAAATTGTCTTCCTTGGTATGAAGAGCAGGTAGAGGAAAAACTAAGGGTGTAAGGATTTACAAAATTCATAATTTGGTTCGATAAAATAAGACAGTTTCTTGATTCGATACATTTTTTGTGACAGCAGACAATATGCAGTGCCTGACGATTTGCTTTACATTAATGTTTCCATTTTCAGTTTATTAGAGCATCCAACCTTTTAAAAGTACAATAAATTATACCAATGCACATGTCATGAGCTGATACATTTACAAGGAGTATGCTTTTTATTCCTGCTCTCAATTCTGATGTAAAGACAAAGCTAGATTTTCAGTGTAGTGAGGCCTTCACTGTGGGTTGCTTGTTCATTTAATGTTTATTCTTCATGCAATACAATCAATATTAATAGGAGCACTTTTTTGCTTCAGTCTGTAGAATGTAAACCTGCCTAGTCTTTAAAATGTTTAGTTACTCCAAACCTATAAAGACTATGCTCTTCTTTATTAACAAGGATACACAATGTCACTGATGCAAAGCACAAAACTTTTTCATGCATATATTAATTCCAATAGTGCCCCCTTGTGGGGAATCTTCAGCCTACTAAATGTGAGTGAGTGAGTTACAAGGCAGGTTCATGAGGCACTTGACATCTAAGTCACAGGAGTCCAGCTTCGGGATTAAAATAAATAAATACATAATATTATTGGTGCATAATAATAATAATAATAATAATAATAATAATAATAATAATGATAAGGGCATCTCTGTTGGCAACAGCCACATCATTTTATCATGTTTAGTGTGTAGACCTGGAGCTTTTCTTTGTGCTATCATATTTCTATCATTGTCTAAAAGGAGAGCAAGGCTTCTTTTCTTAATGGACGCAATTTTTTTCCAAGCTCATTCAGAGTGCAATTCAAATTAGAAAGCACTTGCTATGTTTAATGAGAGTAATGATAAAACATGACTAATGAGTCTTAGCTTCATGTGTTTTTTGATCAAAAATGCAGATTGTGACTAAATCGAAATCTCAGAATTCACCTTCTTTACACATCGAAACGAATGTGACAGGAGCGCTGAGAAGTCACATGATTAACAATGAACAGCAGATTAAACAGCAGAAGCATAGCCACCTTTTTGCGTTTTTAGGCAGTTGAAGGCACCAAGAAGGGTTCTTTGGAGCAATGCCACAAAAGAACCACTTCTGGTTCCCTTTCAAAGGATGATTTTTTGTAAATCAGATGTGAATAAGCTTTTTAAAGTTAAAGCACCTTCACATGATAAAGTTCTGTACCAGTAACAGCTTTTTAAAGAATTCTATGTTCAATCCAAGAACAATTTAGGAACCTTTATTTTGAAGATTGTAGGTGTCCCCAGACTTTTGACGTGCAGTCCACGGTATACTCATGTGTGCACATACATATATCGACATGCAAACAAACACACACACTCTTCTTTCTCTCTTCCAGTAGGACTGAGGGAGAAATCCTGGCTCTAATTGTCTGTGAACAGACATCTCCATCTGCTATTACACTGACAGAGTAAAGCCAAGGGGTCAGAGTGTTGAAAAACACACACAAACATATACACACATACACACACACACACACACACACACACACACACACCTCATCTGCCAGTGTGTCTGTAGAGATACTTACATAATTGTCTCTGGCAGACCAGCCTGGGTATAACTGCATGTGGAGCTGCCGTTCCTTGCGGGCTAATTCATAATACTTAGCTTGCTCTTCCCGAGATAAAGCATGCCACTGTTCAGCGCGAAGGGAGATTAGAAAAAAAAAAGAAAATGCAGTCAGTCAATTACTCTCCTGTACTTTCAAGTTCCCAGCAAAGAGACGCATGCTAGTGTTTTGGAAGTTAAAAAGGATTTGTAGCAAATTATTTGAATGGGGGGGCAGGGGGAGGGGGTGGGGCTGAGAGACAGAGGAAAAGAGGGAGAAGGGGAAACACGATGAAGAGATTAACTTGCACACAGAGGGGAAAAAAAAAGAGGGGGAACTTTGATTTCATATCAAAACACTGGTTCCAATTTAGCGGCGCTTTACTTCAAACTATGTCAGCGGGCAATTACCCCACACAGCCGCAGAATGCTGCTTTGCTGTGGCTGGCTGCCTCAAACCGCTCAGGCTTTCGGTTAAGGCATTAAACATGCTCAGTGGTTCCTCTTTTTCCGAAAAGAGGAACACTTCTTGGCAAGTGTCGGCACCACTCAGCCTGCCTTTTCTTCTTAAAGGACCAAATTGCTCGTAAGGTAAAATCTCACTGCTTTAGTGTCTTTGGCACTCTGTGGTTGGATAAGTTTCCCCCCTTAGACTCTGTTCTGCCCAGTTTCTATGATCCTTCCATTGTGGCTTGAAGATCTAATTCTCCAGACCAGTGATCACCAACCCTGCTCCTGGAAAGTATTTCACAAAGCAGGACTTAAGTTAGCCAGATAACTTAAGACCAAAGTTGAGGATTGTGCAATAGGAATGTCCCTCAGCTCCTTTCCTCTTGGACGGGCTTGACTTTAGGCTTCAGTTGTCTTGCTAAACTGAGAAACTTTGCTTTGCGAAATACCCCCTGGAGATCTACCATCCTGCATTTCAGTTCCAGCCCAAATATAGCACACCTGGTCAAACTAACTATGTGAACTGATGACCTGAGTAAGGTCTGTTCAATCAGGACTGGAAGTGAACTCTTCAGGAAGGAAGATCTCCAAGAGGAGAGATGGTGAACACTGGTTTAAACAAAACTCAGGGGGACATCAATCCACACTTGTTCGGATGTCACTTTAACCCTTTAAACTCTTATTATATAGCTAGTTATCTTAAGGCTTATTATCCAGCAACAACAAAGTATTCAATAACTACTATCCACTACATATGTAAAGTATGTAGTGACAAGAGTGATTGATTCATCTCTAAAGCACAACAGTATTTTGTACTTAGCATTGGGGTTTGTAATGAATTGTAAGTTAAACAAAAGGCTTATCATTTGTTCACAATGTGTCTACATTTATACTTATTTAAACATTCATCTATGATAAGGCTCTTGCCTTTTAGGTCTCTTTTTAACTTTCACAAAAAAGAAAGGATACACACATTTAGACATCTAGTTGACATGTTTAACCCCTACTTAGCTTACATATTAAGGTTATTATAGAATATGTCATTGCAATTCACAACAGTTGCTGAATAATAAGTCTATGGTTCATAAGATTAAACTGAACAGGGGGTCCTATGGCAGAATAGAGGGGGTCTGATACCTACCCTCCGGCCCAGGATTTGGTTGATGGCGGCACTCTCCTTCAGCGTGCACTCTGCCACCACATTGGCTCTCATCTCTTTCATATACAGCATGAAGGCGTTGAGCGGCTTCTTAATATGAGGCTTTTTGGGCTCCTGCTCCTTTCTCTGCTCATGCTGAGGCTTCCTGCAGAAACAAACGCAAAAGCAGATGGTTAAAATGAGGAGGAAGGAAAAAAAAAAAAGACAAAGCAAAACCACATTATTAACCCTTTAAAACCTAAGCCTTTTATTCAATTATTAATGATTGCATTATTAATTACTGAAGTAACTACTATAATACAAACCCTAAACAGTTTTAGCATTTACATATTTACATGTGTGAGAGTGGTAGTGCTATTATGAATGATCCATTATCTACCCTGAATTACCCAGTAACTACTATAAAATTAATATGTAAGGTATTCAGTTTTGAGAGTAGTCGGGATCAGTGGGACTTGAGTTTAAGGCGTTAGGGGGTGTTGCGTGTGTATGAAGAGGGGAAGCGTAGAGGAGTCACTGGGGCTGCCGCCACGGCGACGGCAGCGAGTGTGAGAATGGCGTGCGCCTGCTTTCGTCGTCCAATGGGAGAGCAGCCTGACTTGCTAGTGGAACGCTTTTAATCACGTCCAGTTGGGTGCTTTCATGCAGAGAGAGATTACTTCACCAGTAATGGCAACCAAAGCCTCTCTGCCTCTCTCCCTCGCTCTCTCTCTCTCTCTGGCTTTAATGCAGAGGAGAGAGCCTTCCCTTCCCTTTGTGGGGCCAAACAGCCTTTGTGGTCAAATCTGAGACCAGTATCAGCTACCTAGGGCCAAATGGAGCAGATAGTCTTATCTGTTCACCATGGCTTATCCAGGGGCCATCGAGGCTAATAGAGGCTGAAATTCTACAAATGTTTTGCGCTGCCAGGTTGTGCTCTGCTGCAGTCGATAGCAGTTCTCTGTAGGAGGGAGCACACTAGGGCTGTCACAATTAGTCAATTAAAACATTCATTCTATCTAAAATGTAGCTTCTCTATTAATTATCAGTATTTAGTTGGCAGTTTACATGATTGTAATGCATATTTTGAATTCACTTACTGGACACCCTAGCAGTTCAGCCTGCACTACTACTGATGGCTCAAATGATAAAACTAGGAAAATGCCTAGGTAAATAAAAATGTATTTTTATATTCATAGTTTTTTATATTTATATATATTTTGGAACAGAAACCGATGCAGCGGATGGACTAAGGTGAAGATGAAGAGGGGCCACTTACATATGCATTAGGTCAGTCTCATGGGGAGGCTCGTGCTTGATCTGGGGGTTGACTATGGCAGGGTGAGGGATACCTGTGGCATGAGGTCCAGGAGGTCCCGGAACCATGTGATGAGAAAACCTGAAAACAGAGTAGAAACACAAGTGAGCGAATGAGTATTTACTAGAAGTGCAAAAGATTTCAGTTCACTGCTGTGGCAAGACTGTCCTTTGTGATTCTGATATTGTACAGGGCAACAAACATGCATGAGCTCATGCATAGATTCTTTTCAGTGTGAATGCCCTGCCTAGTGATGTGGGTGTTTTGATGACATATTCATCATTCATGTGAGCCAACAAATTTTGTTCCAAATAAACAAACAGAAATAAAATAAAACAGAAACAAAATCAGGGCAATCCTTAAATCATGTCACTCCAATGAGTTTTAAATCAATATTGCAATTGCAATATGTAGCAATATAACCTCAATATGACATTTTGTTCTAAGCCTATTCAAAATGTCACCTAATGTCCAGTCTCAAGATCTTATATGACTACACTCTACCTGCATTCTTCAGCTTTAACAATGATGGATCTGTCAAACTCCAATTTCACCTCTCGCCAAATTTAGTCAGCAAAGACATGTTGGGTGACTAAAGTTTGCTTTAGTTTTGCTGGAGCTATAAGGCTAATAAGCTAGCTAACAAGTTGTTGAGTCATCTCAAATAGACTTGCTTATGTGGTTTCGGACACCATCACACAGTGTTATTTGTAGAAATCGACAAAAGTATATCTAAAAGTATACATAAGCCTATCAAAGACTGCCTGAATTCTGTTCTTACTTTACTCGTTTTTACAGATAACAGCATATCATACAGTGCAACAACAAAGAAGCAAACTTCAGACACCAAAAATGAAACTTTGCATCGGAAAAGCGTAAAAATAGAGTAAATTTCATATCTGGCCAAACCATCTTCTTGTACTTCATGAAATCTCCAACAGTGACACGGAGGGAGACATCGGTCAGAGTGCTGTTATTTGAAGGGTGAAGAAATGCATGCCATTCCAGTAAATCATATCGTGGTAAATTTTAAACACTGTAAATCCTCATTCTGATCATGTTCTGTGTCATTACTGCACTGTGTAACAAATGTGTCATGTCTGTGTTCTGTACACTGAGACAGCATTTATGGTTATGATTGCGGCACATCAGCGAAACTTACAGCACAAATAAAGCTCATTTGATGTGTTGTTGACCGTTTGGTCTATGTCCACACACACTTCAGCTCTAGTTACTTTCTCATTTGATCTGCGCTGGGCACGCTTGGCCAAGGCTGCTGCCTGCGGTCTGATTCTGTTTCAGTGTGTTTACACGCAGAGGTTTCAGCGCTTGCAGAGGCAGCGGGAGGGAGTTTTTTTTTCCCCCCCTCTGTTTCTCGCGCTCACATGTGTCTCCACTCACGGAGGCTGCAGCAGCAGCCAGGGAGAGGCACTGCCAGGAATGACTCAGGAGAATGCCTGACATGTGCTCGAGCAGCACACACATACACATACAGGCTGAAGCCAGGGCCTGGGGCTGAGCCTGCTGTCTGCATGCTAGTGGGATGAGTTCGCTCTGGGTCGACTCAGAAGGAGAGAGACAGACCAACCATCTTGATGGCATTTGATAAGGTTTAAGTGTGAGTGAGTGAGTGTGCGTGCGTGTGTGTGTGTGTACACTTACCAGCCCAGCGGTGGGGTGATCTGTCCTGCTCCTCCAGGAGAGAGAGAGTAGAAGTTTGGAATATCTGGACCAGTGTGATGCCTGGGCATACCTAAACAAACAAACAAACAAACAAACAAACAAACAAACAAACAAAAGGTTGAGAGTGTTAGCTCTTAAAATCTTGAAGTAAGACTAATAGTTGAATTAACTCACAACTTAAAATTATTACATTAATATTACAAACTTCCAAATAGATGTAGGTGATATGGCAAAAATAAATCAACAATCCCTTTCTTGATATACAATATTTCATTTTTCAGACGTTTGATAAGCTGAAACTGAAAAGTCACCTCTAAAATATCAAACTTATTATATTTATATTTATTTATATTTAACATTTCACATACTGTACTACATTAAATCCAGTTAAACATAACTGATCATGATCTCTCTGTGAGAAACATGCAATTGTACAGTGTTTAGGTACTGACAATATCAACAATATGATCAGAAAAGCATTGATACAATTTATCACAAAAACAAATAGTCATACTGGCCCCTAGTTCCAAGATCATGTGTCATCTTGTAGTGCCAGATAAGGGCGCCGACACTCTGGGTCTAAGCTATTTTCCTCTATAGGGAAAAAATGAATGGTCTGCTTTTGTTTTTTTGTTATTTATTTATTTAAATCACCATTGTCACACCCTGTGGTAAACTAAAATGTTCCCAAAGCTGACAAGTTTTATCTTATTAAACATTACCACCCTCTCCATCCACGGAAAAGGCCACTGGACCTTCTGAATTACAAGATCTATGTCCTTTTCCTATCTAAACTTCTTAAAATCTTGCTGAGTCCCATAGAAGCACATCAACTAATCTTGAGAGAGAGAAAACTGCCTGGACTTTGATAGACAAACCAAAAAAACAAAAAACAAACAAACAAAAAAAAACCCCAGAAAAATAACGTCAGAGACAGAACATGTGAGACAGAGACAGACTCATACGGAACATTCTCTTCCAATAAGTTATCTATAGTTCTTAGTGTTTAGTGCATGAACAAAACTGCTGATTATATGGGTAGCAAGATTTGTGGCATCTTGTCTCAACCTGTAAGACAAGACGACAAGTCATCTCCTTGTTATTTAAAAAGGAAAAACTTTCCTTAACTGTTTTCTACTGACAACTAGTAACATTTTCAATTGTGCGTTTCTCTGTCTGTCCTTCTAATAGTTTTGATAAAATGTTACATGTATTCTATAACAGTCATGACAAAGTACTGCAGTATCTGAACCTGAAAGACAGACAGATGAGTAGACTGGTTTGTTCAGTCCGGTGCACTGTGTAAGCAGATGATGGGCTAATTAAGAGCTGCTCTAACGCTCTGTACTGAAGCGGTTCATGCTGCCAATGACCATCACTGGGCGCGCACACACACACCCACACACCAAGGTCAAGAGTGTGTTCAGTCCATGGACGAAAAGAGTAACAAAAATACAGGGTCTGAACTGGATAAATAAATCCGTCCTATGTGGCATCCCTGTGAGACTGCTGTCTCACAACAACACATGCACAAACTTCCAGATTAACACCACACTTCAACTCCAAACACATCCTAATTCCACGAAAAGATGCAGAGGGAGAGACAGAGAAACAGATGAAGAAAGAATCGGGCAGGGAGACAGGCAGGGAGACAGGCAGGGAGACAGGCAGGGAGACAGGCAGGGAGACAGGCGCCTGCTGTAGACTGAGTGATAACAGAGGTCTTAAACATTTATTCCACGTCACATTGTAAGATATGCTGCAAATGAAGTCTTGCTCAATTTTCTGGCTGACTGTGCAACTTCAGTTATGATGCAGGTTAGATCATACGATAGGATTTTCTGGCGATAAATCTGCGACACAAAAAATTACAACATTCTGCCTGCATCTTTATTTTTTGGTTGAAAAATAAAGCCACACAATAAAAAAATCAAAAGCTCTTCGCATTATTTTTTGACCCCAAAAAAATGCATTAAAAACAGAGAAGAGGAAGAGTTGAGCCGTTTATGTCACACAAAACCACTGATTTTAACTCACAAATGAAAAAAATCTTTTGCAATTTGTGAATTGTGTGTGTGACGGCATTATTCTGACACAAATCATACAGTGTAAACATAATTTAAGACTGTACTTTCATCAGGATTCACACTAAGCTCCAGGTGTCTCAATGAGAGTCAGTCACTATTTCGTATCTACACTTTATCAGAAACACCTACCATATAAATGGACTTTTTAGGTTTACAGTTACTAACTTTGTGCTGCACAGGACTACCACGGGCCCCCAAAAGGACCACCGCTGTTAACACAGAAGTGGCCCAGACATGATTATGGCATGGCGCTGGTATGAGTCTAATCTTCACAGCAGCATGCTGAGGTTTTGAAAAACACCTCAGTATCAAAATTTTAAAAAGTGGGGACAAGAATGCCGCCACAACTGATGCCACTAAAACATCTCACAGCTGACTGTAAAAGAGCAGCAGAGCAGAGGGATTCTGTAACTCTGGTGAGGATATTAATAGCTCAGCAGACCTCCACCATATCACCACATCCTCCCCATCTCTCTCCCTCCTTCTTCCCTCTCGTTCTCTTTTAAGTTGCCGCGGAGACGAGCGTCAGCCGGAAGGAGCACATATGGAGTTGTGCTCATGTGCAGGACTGTCTGCCAAATGCACACCCCCACACAAACCCCCCACCCCTCAGCCCCCCCAGCCGCTGTGAGCCACCCCATCCCCCCTGAACTCCGTCTGCCCCCCCTGCTGAGCTGGAAGAGAAAACAAAGCTGGGACTGTACACATCCCACTGCAGCGTGCTGCTCTGAGATCAGTCCTGAGCCACGACACCCTAATTATAATTAAACCCAGTTAGTTCAAATAAAACCCAGCTGATCAGCAAGATAGAAAACTGGGATACTACAAGCTGCACAGCAGTGTTGAGAATAAACAGGTGTGGTAAGTTAAATAAACATATCAGAATTAATCTTTATAAAGAATTTGTTTACTGTATCAGGTATTTAAATAAGGCATGTGTACTCTGGGAATCATTATCACTATTATTATTTTAAAATATATTTTTGATTAGAATTGCAGGGAATGCGGGGACAAGAGCAGCTGAACAATCAAAAATGGATGAGGGATGTGCGCTCTGGCTAATTCTGATATGTGAGTATGCACAAAAGGTAAACAAAAGGAAACATGAAGGAACAAAGATGAAAAACGGCCAAAAAAAGTACTTCGGTCAAAAATAAGGACAGCGCTGGAGCTGGAAGCTTACACTTTTAGTAACAGCGCTAGTGCTGAGAGACTTAAGAGAGATCAGTGGCACAAAAATTAGCAGCAAACAGAGGAACACACTGATGCCTGCACAAGCAACCATAGAAACCCACAAATGTGAGTATTTTCTCTATTCAAAATTACGACAACTACTTTATTATCTTAGTTTAATTTTTTTTTTATGTATTATGGTCCTTTTCTTCATAACAATCATAAAATAATCGCTAATAGTATGCTATAGTCTCGGTAGCTAGCCAGCTAAATTGCCCATTCCACCTTAAATAGTCCTGCAGTACTGACACCTGAAGCACCAGAATGTAACTGCTGCTCCATTTAAGGTGGAACTGGAAAATTCGAACGAGAAGCTGGCGAATAGCAACTTCAGCTTCATATCTTTAAAGAATTAGGTGTGGGCAATAATAAACAGCTGTTGTATCCACCCTCTTTTGAAGGCATATGATTCCCTAAATGTAACTAAAGTCCAGCAGTGAGGTTGCTGAACTTTACCCTCCTCTGCTATCAGTGCAGACTGGCAGGATCGCCTACAGAGCACCGCTAGTAGCCTGTTAATGAAGTAATGTTCTTTATTTGAGGGTCCCATTTCATAAAGGAAGATTTCAACCACTACCCCGTGGAATTTGGTTCTAAGGGGCAAAGTGACCCTCAAAAACAAGGGGTAGGGGTAAAAATAAGAAACGGGATTGGCTGAGCCTCTTCAGTTCAGCAGCTAACTGGTAGAATAATGGACGCTAATGAGGACTCGCTATCTTCCACAAGGTCTTTTCCCCTCAGTAGACGATGTGCCAACATGTTAGTTGAGATGTCAGTGTCAGAGAAACATGTTTCCACTGTTATGATGTCCTTGAGAACATGTCCTTGGCAACATGCTGACATTCAGGCTGTCCTGCTCTTGAGAAGCAAAGTATAGCTAGCATACGCACTTATAAATATGAGCAAAACAGTAACATTTTAAGTGCTGTAAAAGCACAAAAGGGGCATTTGATTGAACTGTTGGTCCACTTATTCTGTCAATCTTCCTGTGGTCAAGCAGAATGAACACCCAGTGATTTCAGTCAGGGTGACCATATCTTGGTTTTTAAAAAGACGACACCGGGGGCAGGATGGTCGCACAAGGCAGACTATAGACAGCAAAATGTCAACATAAAAGCAAAGCAAAATCTCAGGCATTTTAGGCTATTTAGAAATCCCAGCTGGGCATGTTTTTAGGTCCCCAGAAGAGGACGGCCTGGAAGAAGAGGACGTATCATCACCCAATTTCAGTATTCAAATACAGGCACCTCAAACAGTAAACCAATTACTCAAGTACCTGTGCATATCCCTAATATAGATTCTTATGTTAGCGGCATGCAATAAACAGATGTTAAACCTTCAGTGTTTTCATGTTTACTCTTAATATAAAATATTTTTTTTTAGGATATTTGAACTGTTCCGTTCAAAGTTCAGATATTTGATTAGTGATAATGGTTACAAAGCCCATCCCTAGTGTGCATACCGTGTTTTGAGTTGATGTCCTGCGGGTGGTGTCCGGAGTGTGGTCCTGGGGCGAAGTGCTCGTCACTGTAGGTGATCAGCGGTGTGAGGGGGTGAACTGCGTGAGACGGCTGCACCACGGGAACCTTATTTGACTGCAGGACACAAACAGACAGAGGAGGACACGTTAGAATGCAACACTGTTGTTATTACTGCAAGACTAATCAGCCAAGTTTGGAAGGTTCATGTTTGATGGGTTCCAGGTTAAAAGACTAAAGGCCAAAGAACACAGACCCCAAAAACACTGACAAACTCAAACGTCTGGAGGGTGGTGCTGTACCTGGGGCCTGTCAAGTGATGCAGGTTCAACTAAGACAGGGTTCCTGATCAAGTTTCAAGTTTACAACCCAACAAATGGAACAGCACTTATCTTGTTTTTATGATGCTGGTCAAAACGTTCTCTAGTCTCTGGTTTAGATACTCAGCCAAGCAAAAATCTTGCTTTGATAGACAGACCATGTGTGATTGGTGAGAGTCTCAAGAACGAGTCACACTATTCTAGAATGTTCTGTCCTCATTCACACTGTTCTAGAACATTTTCTCCATTCACTCATTTCACTTACACTGTTGTAGAATGTTCATTCCACTCACTGTTCTAGAAAGTTCTGCTGCCCTCATTCACACTGTTGTAGAATGTTTCGTTCACTCACACTGTTCTAGAACGTTTTGCCCCATTCACTCTGTTCTAGAATGTTTTCTACTCACCCACTTCTAGATTGTTCTTTCCACCCACGCTGTTCTAGTAAGTTCCCCCTAAATTAATGTTGTTATAGAATGTTCTGCTCCCATTCACATTGTTCTAGAATGCTCTGCCCTCATTCACATTATTCTAGAATGTTCTATCCCACTCACATTGTTGAAGAATGTTCTGTCTTCTTACACTGTTGTACAATGTTCTGCCCCATTCACGCTGTTCTGGAATGTTTTCTACTCACAGCCAGTTCTAGAATGTCCTTTCCACCCACCCTGTTCTAGAAGGTTCCGCCTAAATTCATATTGTTATAGAATGTCCTGCTCCCATTCACATTATTCTAGAATGTTCTGCCCCATTCATACTCTTTTAGAATGTTCTGCCCTCATTCACACTGTTCCAGAACGCTCTGCCCTCATTCACATTATTCTAGAATGTTCTACCCCACTCACATTGTTGAAGAACGTTCTGTTCTCTCACACTGTTGAAGAATGTTCTGCCCCATTCATACCGTTCTAGTACTTTCTTTCTACTTACCCTGTTCTAGAACGTTCTTTCCATTTACTGTTCTAGAAAGCTGTCCTCAAATCACACTGTTCTAGAAAGCTCTGTCCTCATTCACACTGTTCTAGAAAGCTCTGCTCCCATTCATGCTGTCCTAGAAAGTCCTCCTCCATTCTCAACTTCAAGGTTCCCCCCTCCATTCACACACATATAGTAAAGAACATTCTCCCATTCACACTGTTCTAGAGTGTTCTCCTGATTTACAATAGTTCATTTTGCTTATTAGTTCTTTTCCTAAACATTCTAAAGCCGCTGCCAACATTAAGTGTTTTTTGCTAGCTTGGTTACCTCACATGCTGTGACACAACAGACCTCCCCATGCGCTGAATGTTGCTGCTGTCATCTTAAAACCTTATAACTTTTTACACCACTTTAAAAAACAGGCTGCTCTTTACATTGTGTGACCATTTCAGGATGAATGGACCAATATAAATGGTGCAAAATGACTAAAAACCTTTGCTACATTAAAGTTAAGAATGTTATTTTCCCTTTTGTTCCTCAAACAGATCTGAGAAAGCCTGTACAAAAGACCAAAAAGGTGATTAGTTCACATTCTGCATATTACACAAATAAAAGACGCACCACGCACGCCAAAATATTCTACTGCAGTACTTTTGGGGCAGAGGGACTGAGGGAGGGAGGAAAGGGGGGGCGATGGAGGGAGAGATGGAGGGAGGGAGCGCCACAGGGCAGAGGCAGAGCAGAGGTCTTGGGGCTGGAGATCAAAGGGAATCATTAGCCGGTGAATAAGGGAGTTCATTACAGAGTCCCGGCCGTCTGCGGTGGAACTAAGCAGGGTTAATCACGTCAGCAGCGGCCTCAACACACACACACACACACACACACACACACACAGAGCTGACTCACAAAGCAACAGCCTCCACACTAAACAGCACACGCTCGTATACACCCACACATACGCACAGGAACTCCCTGCATCATTACTGGGTGTATATATTACCATAATTTACCATTATCTTTTAACAACCCCAAAAAGGTGCCTCAATTTCATCATAAATTTGGAGAAAGCACAGAAGAAGATTATAAAATAAACCTCAGATTGAACCCTTGTGTGTCACAACTAGTCTGCTGCACTTCACTTCATGTGCACAGTTCCTGCGTATTTTCCTGAAGGTTATATCATGTTGCTGTTGAAACAAAGCCTTTGTATGTTCATATTTGTAGTTTTTACATTATTTTTAAAAAGTGTCAGCTGCTGTTTAAGTTGTCTCAGTTTCATGACAGACTGACAAGCAGAAAATCACTACAAAATAGTTACATTAACTTAGAAGAAGTTAAGAACGCTTTTTCCTTTCCTGTAAGGTTTTTTTGGACGTACAAGATTTTCCTCCAACAGTGATGATATATTAATAACTAATAATAGCCACAAAAAGGCAATATGTTCGCCTGCCTTCCACCATGATGCACAATAAAATCGGATTAAATCATGATTTGTCACTTTTTCATTTTAATAGAAGTGCAGCTGCACTGTTCCGAGCCAGTGAATTATACAGCCCTTTTTTTGCACAGGGCTGGACAAGCCCAGAATGGCCGTGTGGTCCTGGAGGTAGGGCTGGGCTGAAATGAGTAGTTTGTTCTAATTTGTGAGCAGGGCTTGACATTCCCGACCCGCTAATTGGGCCGAGAAGCAGAGAAGGAGGTGGAAGGTACCATTACTGCTTCATGAGATGGTCTGGTTTAAAGCCGTAGGGCGGGGGAGAGGGTGTGTGTGGGAGTTTCTCACGGCTGGCACGGCACTGCCCCACGGAGCGCTGCAATATTGTTCCAGCACAGCAGAGGAGGGAGGGGAGAGGAGAAGAAGGACGGAAGAAAAGGAGGCTTCATAAAGGAAAGTTTGAAACACTGACATTGCTAATGATGAATGAAGGTTAGCAGGAGGTCAATTAGCAGCAGTTTGCAAATGACATCATTTCTGACCCCACTCAGTTTCATTCACAGTTAGTCATTTAGCTTTGGGGAGGTTTTCTTTTAGGAATTTCTGGAATACTTTGGTATACATGCGTCTAAAGCAGAGGCTTGGCCCAGTGATCCAGGCCTTATGGGAATTCATGGATTAAACTTTGACTTTCACGTATACTTAAAGTGAGGGGTTACGCCAAATTTGTCCCCTTTCCCAGACATGACTGGCCTCTTTAGTTTTGCATTGGCTAATGTGGATAACAACCAATGGAAGCTTATACTTTACAATTTAACATCATGCAAACCTGTGGTGTAACTAGAATTTCAATTTAGGGGTAGGCCTGGAATGGGTGAGGGGGGTTGGGGGGCTGACGAAATTCATTCTTATTTGTGTGTTTTCAAACTGCTTAATAACTGTCGTTATTTTTTCATTTTTTCCCTTCATACACAAAATATACAAATAATACATGAATAACAGAGGTTAAACTTGTTAAAAGATGTACACACAAATTTCCCAGTGTACTATTTGTTCTGCTGTTGTGTAACACTAATAAATCCATGAGAAACAACCCACTGTTTACTCACACTATTCTGTAGTACAACTGATGCTTTAGATGAAGACACAGTACATTCTGTATGTTCATTGAGAAATAACTGGTTTACCCCAAACCCCACAACAACGCAGCCTAACTTCGTCTTTGTGCCTACACACAGACCGTGTCTCAATGCAAATGCTACTGCACTAAATACTATGTTCAAGATAACAATGGCGCCATTGATGGAGTACCAATCTAAATTATTTAGCCATTAAATGTGGTTTGAGACACAGCCGCAGAATGCACCCGCCCTAAAAATCTCTCCGCGCATCCTGCCATTTTAACGTCCGGTCAAGAGTGTGAACCATAAAACGGACCTCAAACTTGACTGTCTGGTCAAAAGCTGTCAGTCTTACTTAGATAGGGAAAAAAAGTCATGAAAATGAAACAACTGGCCATTTTCGCCCATAAAGACCTTGGATTTTGTCATTTTTCACTGGCATCAGAAAACTGTTTTTGTGTTTATTTTCTGTACTGCTTTTTTTTTAATGATCAGAAACCAAGGGGGCCTGGCTTCCAAGTGAGAAGGCCTAGGCTATTCCAGGCCCCCCAGAGATACCCCCCTGATGCAAACAGCATAAGCACTCACCCAGTTATTAAGTAACCTCAAACAGACTTGCTTATGTACTTTTTGACACTGTATGACACACGGTCATCTATAAAAATGGATAAAAAGTATAGAAAAAAGCAAGCTCGTTCTGTTGTTGTAACCGACGCAACACACTGTTGGTTATATTAGCCTAACAGCTCTAGAAGCAAACGCTCTTGATCAGACACATCTGGATTAAGCAGAAGCTTGGGCATATCTCAAACTTTCACTTTAAGGAACCCGTAACACAAATGAAAGCTAAGAGAGTAACAGGTCAAAATAATACATAAAAGTTGGAACATAAAGCACTTCAGCCTGTTCTCCAACACCTATATGAGCGGCAAAGACTGTGTGTGTGGTTTAGTCAGTCTCTGATGAAGGTCAGAGGTCAGAGCTAATCTAGGTGGAGGAGTAGCTTTAATGGGCCTTATCCTAGCTAAGGAAGCCTAATCGCTGCCCAGCTTCTCCTAATAATGTGTGACCTGGGGCCTGTAGCCACTGAGGCAGGGCCTAACTAGAGGATAGCATCCGTGCCTTTTCCTTCATTTTACGCCTTTCAGCTCCTATTGGTTTCTCCTGTGGGAGGAAGATAAGAAGAAGGCGGATTTTCCTTTAAGCCCCCAGTCTCTGTCTCGGAATGGGGTGAAGAAGAAGAGAAAGAAGAGGAGTAGTGGAAGAGAAGAGAATGGGGATGGGGAGGGGGGCATCGTCAAAACTGCATATTAAAATGAGCCA